CCAACTTCTCCACATATACACCATGTTGCTCCAAAGAAGCCAGATCATGAATGAGAGGGTGGAGAATTTTAGCGTAGCCAAATTCTTTTACATGAGAGGCTTTACACAAAACAGCAAGCTGAATGGAGTGGAGTGTGGATCTGTATTTTGATGGCACATTCGCTATCACCCAATAGACTGCATTCATTTTGTGTTTCTTTCTAGATGGTCCTAAAGGATTGGACACTTCAAAATCATCTGTATAAAGTCCAACAGCGATTTTGAATTCCTCCCCTTTAAGGAGGTCATTGTCATTACAGTACGGGCCATCTCTATATGAACTGTACTCATGTTGCACATGATTTTGGACCGGATGAGCTTTGTCTAAAATATCTGCCCTATTCAACATCTTCTGTAGCATTGGATGCAAAGGAACATTAACAGCACTAGATTTTTTCCTCTTTCAATAATGTACTCCACTGGTTTAATCTCTGTAAAGTTTTTATTCACATATGCTGCTCTCCTTTTTGTTGTTGATAAGGGGCCATCCTTGCCACAGAATTTCATGATCAGATTGCTCTTTGCGGCAGCCCTGACTAACTCTTCCACAACTGAATCATCTACATCTGTATGTTGTTTCAGAATGTCCTTAAGTGCATTATGCAGCAGTGGCTGGGATAGTTCACACATCTGTAACAGCTGTTGTATGACTTCTTGTACCGTACGTTCTGGAACGTGTAGGACCGTTTGCATCTTTAAAAAAAGAGCTGCTAGGTTGTGCTCCAGCTGTTTCTCTAGATCATTAAGATCTTCATTGGTAGAATCATCACTGTCTTCTGATTCAAGGGTGTCATTTAAAGGCTCATGTTCTTCTTGGGACATGTTATTAGTTGCACTACTAGAGACTATTTCTGGCCTGAACATCCTCCAGTTGTGTGTTCTGTGCTCCTTACTTCTATGTGCATTAAATATAGAATACACATTTGTGTATAAGTTACAGCCATTATATGGACACAGGACTCTGTGATTCACCTTTAAATGTGTACTGCGCAGGTGAGTGAGAAAGACTGCTTTAGTGCAGGGTGCAGAAAAATCACATGACTGACTGTTAAAGGTAACTTGGGCAGTTTCACTAAGTTGTGCACCGTGGGTTTTCTGGTGAATCTTTGCTAAGTAGACCTTAAGTGCATTAATGGAGTTGAACATTGCTGGTGTAAGCAGGGAAATAGGACAGTTCTACCATGTTTCCGTGTTTTAACCGATAATGTTTTAAAAGGTAACCCCTTTTTGTCACAGATAAACTCACAGTACTTACACTTCCATAGCATCCTCACACCACAAGAATCTGTAAAACAAGAAAACGTTTAGGCCAACAACTCAGCACTACAATGTCACTGTTAAATACAATAAGGTAATAAAACCGAAACAACACCTGTGTTACAGAGAAAACCGGCATGTAAACAAGCGTATGTGAGGCCGTCTACACACTGCCGACGTGGCATTTCTGTCAGCTGCGTGGATTTTTCTGTCTTTTTACACCAGAAACGTGTCTGACGCGGCGCTGCTGCTGCTAGCCTTGTCTCTAACCATATGCATGTTTCCCATTGATTTACTGCACTCAAGCAGTATACTTCATGTTACACATAAATATATACTGATTTGATTACAGCAAAGACAACGTCGGCAGTATTGACGGTAAATACACTACAGAATATTGCATTCTGTACAGGTGCAATATTTGAAAATCGATAATCGTTTTGAAATATAATAACATATCTTTTCATATTAAATTTTGCCTGGAAACGCTTCCAATGCTTGCGTGCCGCGTGACAAATAGCCGTCGGTCCTGTTTCTAGCAGGCAGTGGGTAAGCTCTAACCGTTTAACTATAAACAGACACGCCACGCTGCCAGTGTGTAGAGCGTGAGAGGGAAAAGAGAGCGGCCAAGGATGGGCCGAGTGAATCAATGGCTCTGAGTAGCTCGGGTGTAGCTAAACACCTCCACAGCAGATGCCAATTTGCCCCGACAGCGGTTGAATCGTTTTTCTATTGCGTAAAATGACGGTTGAAATAGGTGATACCGTCGAACAAACTAACGGTATGTGAGCCGTCCTCAGACTGTTAACACTAAGTTAACTTTGAGTTCAGCTGACACTTTTTTTTAGTAGCTAGCTAGCTAGTTTTAGCAATAAGCATGTATTAACACCATGCACAGGTTCAAACAATAACATTAGACGGAAATAAAAGCTGCGTCACATTATCTGCAAGCTTTTGGGTATTAAACATCCCCACAAAGATAACTAGGCTACAATAGTTACTTTATATACTAACCATTCCACTTCGAGGTGGTAAGGTCGCTTTCTTGGATTCCGTCTGCTGCCGATGCCTGTGCTCATCCCGCCAGGTGAAAGGGCCCCTTGGACGCACGTTAGGCGCTGGTCTGGTCACGGGACCAGACCAGCTGTGCTAAAAATGTGCTAAAAATGATTAGTGCAATGAATTTTTCAGCTAATTAGTACAAACAACTAATGTTGTTTAGTAATGATAGCAGGTAAGGACCTGCCTGCAGACGCCTTCTTTCTAACTCCACGTCGGATTCAGTCCTTAAAACCCTCAGGAGATTTGTCCAATCTTCAACAGCTAGAGCCACAAAAAAGCAAAATCACTGTTCAACAATTCATTCAGGTTTGGAGTGAACAATTTTATGTCTATAAGAAAGTCATATTACGCTAGTAATACCCCATTCAACATTATCTATGATTTTCAGAAATAAACAAACCCATTGTGTGCGATCTGGGTTGAGTAAAGTTTATTCATCATGACAGGACCCCTCCCCCAATTTTCAGATCACGGAATATAAATCATTATAGAAAGATCACGCCCTTTTCAAATGAAGTGTTGTTTATGTGTATTTCTGATTCTTAACAAAGTACTTGCTATGACGTGGAATAGTTTGGAGTTAAGTGTGATGGTGCTGACTTTGGATGCAGCGGCTCCTCCAGCTGGCTCGGCAGCAGCCAGAAGTGGCAAAGAGTAGACTGCTCACAGTGTGTCGTTCCACTGGAGAATATGATTTCCAGCCTAATTTCAGACGCCACCCTGGTGCTTTCGCTGTGTGTTGGCAAATAGTTTTTTTAGGAGCAGGGCTCTATTAAATCAAGGCACTCACTTAACTCTGATTTCAGCATCTTCCCTCACTAATCTGTGACTCTTAATTTTATCATTTCCATGCACTCTAGGGAAGCAGTGGTAAATATAACTCTGAACAGCACTTGGGGATCAGGAAAACAACCAGCTTTACAAACAAGAAGGTTATTTTTAATAGCAATTCCTGAGTTTTTATTATGAGACTATAAGAATTTAAAACACATTAAATACATTTAGATAAAAGTCATGACTTTGATACACACACTGGCAAGAGTCGCTATACGTGTTATGTGTTTTATAGAAGCGCATGATGCTTACTAAGATTGCACGTATGTTTAACATAATCTGAATTAGAATCTTAAATTAATGCTTTATTACAATCATCGATACAACACACTCAACCCCACGAGCCACAGCCACTGTTATGAAGTAGATACGGCAAAACTATATACAGTACTCACATACTTTTACTTAAGGCTGGCGCATGCTTCTGCGTCTTTACGCACCGTTGTGTCGACGCACTCGTTTCAATTCACGGTTCTAAAAGTCTTGCGTGTGTTGCAGAGCAATTCACCGCCAGAACAACAGGCGGAGTGACGTGTTTTTGTCCAAGACGACCTAGAGAGTCACGTCTATTTATTTATTTGTTTATTTATTTATCATAGACTTTATTGCCCCGTGCATCGACACTGCTGCTTTTCATCACGGACACATTTGTCCCGTATTTTCCCCCACAACTTTGTGCACCTCTCAACCGGCAAACCGACGTTTGCGGAGATCTCTCTCCATGAATCAGAGACCATCAGCGCTTCCTTATAGTCCGCCAATGACGGGATATAGAAGCGGTCATATTTACGCATTTCTTCTGACAAAAGCTCTTCAATCTGATCCGTTCTCTCGTAAACATTCTCCACTTTAATAATGGCGGTATTGTGCTATGAAACCAGAAATGTGAGACTCCGTTAAGGATGTAGATAGCAGACCAATCGCAGCCTTGTGCGCTGCGGGAGGCTTGCGTAGAAAAATGGGTTGACGCACGCAAGGAGGAGTGAAAAGGCACGCAAGGGACACGCAAGGGGGTCTTGCGTCTGCGTGTCCTTGCGTCTCTCTGAAAACGCAGAAGCATAAACTAGGCCTTTGCTAGCCTTGGTAATGCGAGGTGATGTCATACGTCCTTTTGAAGCCCCGTCCCAGATAGCAATGAGTCGGCGGGCCGCCAGCGGTTCGCCAGAGATCGTAGCAGCGGCAGAATGGCGTAATCGCCGCCGGCGGACCGCCTTTCTTTCGCGGACGGACAGCAGGTCAACCGCCGTTCCGCCACAGTTATAACAAAGGCAGCTTTACCGCTTTACTTTGAACAATGGTCTTCAGGAACAGGTCTTTAAAACAAGCTTTAGCCCCTAGTCCAAGTTGTAGAAATTGAAAGGCGATTTGAGAAGATACTCTGAAGCATTCTCTACACAGTTGTCTTCAGGTCCTTCCCACATTTGATGGCCAAAAAAGCTGAAAATCCCCAAAAGTGCTCCATATTACATTTCGCTGAAGCTTCTCATACATAAATATCAAATGTGACAGGCTGTGAATTCAGACTGTCGAATATGCAGTGTACAATCTTAATTTGACTTTAGAACCTACAGCGTTAGAAACAATAGCAGCACACTTACAAATCGTTCCTGGAGCTCGCTATCCTGCCTCAAGCTGCTGTCAAGCAACGCCAAATCTTCCTGGGTGTTTATGGGGAGTAAAAGACCACTGGGCAGGGATAACTCTCCAACAGACACATTGGCACTGAAATGTTGCAGCAATGTGTCCATTTTGTTTTCCATGCTACGCACAACATCGCCAAACTCTCCCAAGACGTCGCAGCATTAGGGTCTGATCTGCGCCTAAAGGGATTCCCAAAATAAAAGAACATAGTCAGTCCTGGTCCCTCAACTACTAAACTATGATATTTACATCTTGGTATACAACATGTATAGGTGGCCCCAGTGGGAATTAATCAAACAAACACAGGAGTTTGCAAGTCGTACCTGATTGCCTTGTGCGAGCAAAGGTCTTCATCATTGTCCCAACTTGCTTCAACTGATCTTGAAGTGAGCTGCAGTTATCAAGCTGCTCGTGCATTGCTTCCCCTCCAGCAGGCTTGGTTCTCCTCCAGCTGCGCTCAGATAAATTGACAACAAGTTATTGCATATATTTACTGAATTGCACAACACACCTTTCATTCAGGGCAGTCAAGTGCCCTAATGAAGAACAGATTAAGCAAAAAAGGATTCCTAATCTTAAATAGAGGCAATAGTTTTAGACAAACAACGTCACTTACTTTTACTCAAACTCTTGGCTCTTAGAAGTGGAGACTGGACCACTGGTGAGAAACCTTGTTCTGAAAAATAGGAAACAGGAATGTGAAAATCTAACAAATATAGTTTAGTGGCAAGATCACAAATTAAGCATCACACCAAACTACAAATACACCACCTGAGAGTTCTGTTGTTTTAACACAAGTCACCGTTTTAAGACGGGTTCTTGGGTCTTTAGGAAGGGTTGGATGATCCTTGGACAAAATGGTTAAAAGCTTACCAAGTGCCACATGGTGGATCATGTTGTCAATAGCCCACCCTGCCAATTGTGTCCTTAGGCAATCCTCTTCCTCTTCATCATCTTCTGTGCTTGAGGAAAACATCTCACCAGCTTCACATGCCTCATCAACAATTATTTCCTGTGCTACAGGGGTTACAGTTTGTACATGGTTTGTTGTAGCCATTCCATGTAGATGTTCATTAACATGGGGAGTTACTTGGTCAAAGTCAGAAAAAAGAGAGTAGTAGAGCATTGTTTGTAGCCGCAATATCCTTTTTATCCCTCTTGACTCCTTTCAATATTCTTCTCCTTTTGGCCCAGTAACTAGACATTGTGACTAACAATGTGTTTACCTTTAAATCCAAAAAGAATGTCCAACAGTAGGTCTCTTGGGTGAAGATAACCGGTAATGCTCTGGTCAAGATATCTGCAAGAAAATGTGAACAAAGGAACAAAACGCATTGTTAACGTTAGGAATCAGTTGTTATGCCGTAGGGGAAAAAAAGATCCGCCAAATGTATTCATTAAATTGTCCTCTAACATGCAATGTACAGCAGTTCACAGAATTACAAATCTGTTTGTTAGAAAACACCAAAAGTTAACCGGTGGGTGTGGGCTGGTGAGGTTGTCTTTTTGTGTGCAGATAAACAGACGGCAGCACTTTGAAACTTGGCAAAACAACTATATTTAAGAAGGGTTTGACTTCATATTACATTTGAACTACAATGGCATTAGCCATAGCCGCGCTCGGAATGAACCGTGTATCTACAATTTACACTACTGATTAAAACCCATTTTTATTAAATGCTGAGGTGATTACTACCAGACAGCATATTTTATGAGTAAACTGAAAAGAATATAAACATATTATTGCGTTAAACACAAAGGAAAAATGTACTTACCTAAACGGTGTTACTCGACGTTGACTTCAGTCTCCAGGCTGTAGCAACTTCAAGTTGAACCAAGTAGGAGACACGCCACTTCAACACGTGTTTTTAAGAAAAATACGTAACGGTAAAGATGGCAACTGTATGCACATGTCCCGCCCCTCCCGCTGGAAAGCCAATCATCTACTTCATGTCCCGCCCCTCCCGCGGGAAAGCCAATCATCTGCTTCATGTCCCGCCCCTCCCGCGGGAAAGCCAATCATCGGCCAGGAAAAATGTGGGCCTATGGACAAGTTTATGAGCCGTTTCCGCTCTACATCCTAAACTCCGCCCATTTATGCAATCCACTTCCGTTCTGGCGGGCTGGGTTGTTTTGCTAGCTAGCTGTTCCACTGACGGTCGCGCACAGACCAGAACCCTTGCGCATGCGTAGTAACAGTATAACCTGTGGGGGAAAAAGGCGAACCTTGTTTTGGGAAAAGTCACCACCGTCTTAGCCCCGCCCAAAAGACTACTGAACACAAAAAAACACTGCAGTTCCTTCTATACGTTGTATCAATAACATTTATAATGTGCTTGGATTTTATTTCTTTTTTTCAGGGACTTTTAAAATGTCTTAAACATTTCTACAGGTTGCTAATTAATACTTTAGCAACTATACTGATAAAGACAAAATAAATAAAACATTGAGGTTTGAAAAAAATAAAGACAACGCAATTTCCTGGAATGGCACAAGGAGAGCTTGAGTCCTTCACATCAAAAAGATTTTGAGAGTATTTCAAAGCGGCTTGCCGCCAGCCGGTCGCGGTCCTTTAGTCAGAGGCAACCGCCAGAGAAAATGAAGCAGGCGGATCTCGCTAGGAATGTGAGTGACGTAATCGGCGGCTAACGTTGTCTCCCCGTCAGCGGGACGCACCTATAGCCGACAGCTTAGCGCCGGCCGCAAATAGAAGCCGTGCCGATGTTTTTTGCTGTCTGGGGTGCTGGGACCTCTGCTTTGTTGAGACCCGATGTTTTGTGCGCTGAGTACGCTGTACGTGTTTTTAATTCAGCTTATTCCTTTTGTCCCGGCTCGGCCCGCCGACAAAAGATCAGCAGAAACCCCGCAGACACAACCTCCCCGACTACGCCCTCTCTGCCCCCCGTTTTGTCTCTGAAGAGTCGGGGATGTAACACGTGAGCCGTCGTAGCCCACGTGGATCAGCGGGGTGGGCTGAACAGGCCGGAGCTTCACTGCTACTCTGGAGCCCCCCCACCCCAACCCCCGCTGAGACGAAGCACTCTGTTTATTAAAAAGAAAAGAATCCTTCAAAGGTTGCTGACAGTCTAAATGCAGTAAAGGAAGAGAACCCTCTCAGAATCCTTTCTGTGAGAAGCCACATGCAACGCGTGGATTGGTTGCTTGTGGCAACATGAACCTGCAGGGCTTCTTTCTCTTCCTGAGAATCCCACTGTGTCATTAGTTCAATACGGCGTCCACGTTTGGCTCTGCAGGCAGTCGGTCCGTCTGACGAATGACGCAGCGATGAGGGAAGATTCACTGTGACTGAATTGAATTGTTCCACAGGGACTTGTTTGTGTACTTTATATGCTGTTCCTCCCCCTACTGGCAGTTACACACCCCTGCAAGCCTGCGCCGGAGCTGCTGTAGAAACTCTCTGGGGAGGGCAAGGCTTCAATAAAGGGAAGGCTACTGGCAACCTTTTAATTGAAGATATACAACAGGTGTGTAAATGCACAGCCATCCACGCATGCCCAGAACTGAGGACTAATGAAGCTGGAAATCCTCTCAACCTTTGGTCAATCACCAACACGCAATGTATTTTTAGATATTACACGCTGGCAGGATCCTGAGGACTACAGTCTGTTTTGCTTAGAAAATAAGTATCGCAGGCTTAATTAACACAAGCACGTTCTTTACAGTTATCAATGCACGTGCGAACATGCTGAGAGTATGAAGCCTGTGTTACTAGTTGATTTTGCAATGGAAACATTTATATCTCAAAACAAAAACTCTGGGTAAAAACTGGGTATAAAAGAAACCAACCGTGTGACCAAACACAAAACATCAGCCATTGAACGAAAGCCCAAAAAGATTGGAGTGAATTCCAATCCTTATATAATGTTAGTTTTTCATATTATAACATATTTATTTTTCTTTTTTTAAATACTTTTTCAAACAGGATGAGGAAATGTTAAACATGATTCAACTGCCAATTAAAGAGAGACGACAGCCGAGCAAGCTGTTCACCCTCCCTCCATATTCTCTGTGCTACGCTAAGCTACCTTTGTCTATTCAGTCTGTAAAGCCAATAAACATATTTCCCAAAATGTTGAATTATTCCTTTATTATCTTTTGGTGGCCTTAAAAATGCCAAAGTTGTTGCCACTGTGATCTTCTATAAATGTATGTGGTAGTTAGATCATTAGCTCTCTGTGGGATCAAACAACAACTAGTGATGTTGTTCACAGGAGCTGGAGGTCGGTGGGAGACTGACGATTAAAACTGTGACACGACATCGCAATCAACGAGTTAATCATCCGCAAACTACACACTGCAGACATTTGACTGAGGAACCATCGGTGCTGTAGGATATTAGAAACAAATTGATGATCCGGTTCATAAAATTAATAAAATGCATATAGTGGACACAAACTTTCACACCTTTAAGCATTGTTATAAATACCTGTAGGAACCATTGTTCTGGAGTTCGCTGGTGGAGGCAACAGACGGGCACTAGGGATGGTCAAAGGACTGACCTGGGACCTGTTGGTTGCTGAGACCAGCGGCTCCTCAGCTGAGATGTTCTTTTTACCACAACACCATCTCTTTTATTAAATACATTTGATTTTAACCTTTCGATCTGCGATGACCTCTGTCCGTCCGGCGTTTCTTCATTTTTGAATACAACAGTGCCCCACTGCAAATTGGCGGGTGAGTTTACGAAGGCGCTGCACTCCGCGTGTAAAACGAATCCGGAGCCAATGCGATACAACAGAGAGGCAATGGCTGCAGTTGGACTTCAGGCATCGGAGCCATAGGGTTTAGACGTGATGGATTTTCTGTTCCCTCCCATTTAGCATGCTTGTGTCCTTGGTGGGCACGCCATTAACAGATGACTTATACAAGCACACACAGATGCATTGCAATAGCTCCGTAGCTGCGGTGATTAAACTACTAAGAATATGAGCGAAATCAAACATTTTGCTTTTGGAGTGTGTTTTCCATTAGCTGCCACAGAGTGAACGTGTCACTCTGTTGGTCCGCCCTTATTTACGGCCCACCGAGCATCTCTGTTTGTTTCACAGACTGATGAGATGGTGATTAAGCAGGCGCTAACTAGCCTGCTAGCGCTCCTTGGGCATCCCAACGTGAGCCAAAGACACAAAACAGCCACGCCGGGACGGCAATGTGAGTGGTTCTTTAGCCCCCCCGCTCGCACACTCCCATCCCTCTGAACGCCCCCCCATGTGGAACGTTTAGTGCTCAAGGAACAGCATGTTCAGACCTGATAGAAGAAGTATGCAGATCCTTCACTCTGGCTAATCAATACGTAAAGTTGAGCATTCAGAAATCCTTTAAAGTTACTGTCGATTTCTGGCACGAGTGGATTTGGTTTTTAGGCCGGTAAGAAAATTGAACAAAGGATTTGTTAATATGAACAGGGTTATTAACAGATGTTAATGATATTGGAGCACCGTCGCTGAATCAGGAACCAAGAACAAAACTGTGGATAATGTCTCAAAAACGGTGCTCACTCTTACTCTTAAGTGTCAAAGCGTCACAGCGCCTTTCCACACTGAGAGTGAACAGTGAAGGTTTGAATCCGACTACTGACAATAACAACCAGCTGTCATCACAGTCAAAAATGTATTGTGTTAGAAATCAACAGGTTTCTGTCATATGGCTCAAAGTACAGCACCTGGAAGCGCTGGACACCACTCGGAATGGGGAGTGTGTGTGTGTGTGTGTGTGTGTTCGAGGGGAAGGCGAAAGATGGCGGACGTGGACTTTTAACTCATTACGCTACTCAAGACTCAAGGAGCAAGTACTGTGTGTGTGTGTTGGCCTTCGTAACAATGTAAATACTCAACACCGACCCCAACGGAGGCCTGGAGCCTGAATCGTTTGGCAGGCGCAGCACTTGACCTTTACCTTTTGTGAAGTACAATTTATGGACTTTACTTGCGTTGGCGGATTTAAACACAATGAAGCTCAGCAGGGTGGAATCACAGCAGCAATAAGCAGAACAGCTGTGTTACACGGTGCTGAGCAGGACTCAGCACTCAGTAAACTTTAAAAAAAAAAATGTAATTGCGTGCATGTCTTTTGGATGGTCTATGTGAGTGTGTGTGTGTGTGTGTCCAGGTGTTTGGGCAGATATGTGTGTGTGTGTGCGTAAATGATCTTAATCTCTCTCAAAGTCAATTCGTCTGATACTAGGAAGAGCATGTTCTCTCAGAGCTCTATAATGGTGCTTTGATGAGAATTTTGTCAGAATCTACCAGGTTGATTCAATGTAATGGAGCAGGGTAGACACCTAAAGGAAAATTTAAATAAACATTTTCAGAATACGCTATATAATATATTCAATTTCACAAATAAACTACGGCACATGAATTTCTTAGTTTATTACTATAATGCTAATGTAAAGATCTCTGTCGGAAGATTTTAGAAAAGGGCAAAATGCAAACACTGATTTTGGTGCTATTTACCATGTTAAGTAAAGTGGAATATTTTGATATCTTGATTTTGATTTCCTTTGCAGACGTCATTGTTATGGGTAAAACCACAAATTTTTTCTCGCCTTGTGCTCAAAAAAAGTCCGCCCCAGGCGATCTCCTCTTCTCTGCGGCCTCAAGCCGTCGAACCATCGAGAAGGGATCGTGTTTGCAAACCACCTTTCTGTTGTTCACCGTTTGCACCGCATTGCTCTCGAGGAGGCCAGACTGTCAATCAAAGACCGTGCTGCTGCTCCGCGGCGTCTCTACGAGAGGCCGGGTGGCCGTGAAAAAGCGCAATCAAAGGACCTGATTGCCATCATGCGACCACCTGTCTGGGTGGGACTGAGGGCTATGGAGCTGCTACGTGAAGGAAATTGTCCACAATCATTATGCTGCTATATACACACAGCATTTAAATGGAGTAAAATTGCCAATTATTTCAAGTGGTATTATTTTTCTAGATTTGAATGCTCTACCCTGCAATTACACCAATAGAGAGAAACTGTAGGATATTAGAAACAAAAATACGACCCGGTTCATAAAATTAATAAAAATGCATATAGTGTACACCAGAATACAGCCATGATTCTGAAACTGTGTAATCAATAAAGTAATGACAATATTGTAAAACCACTGTAAATCTGCAACTGTAATAGAATAATACCAATGTACAGTTATGATTGTATTTGATGTAATGTAATCAACTGGAATGCATGCATGTAATACTTGAACAACAACTGATATTGACTATGGGCCATTCGAAATCCGAGTTACATTGAACTCACCAGAAGACCACTCCCAGAGGTGTGGACACTGACTTTCACACCTTTAAGCATTGTTATAAATACCTGTAGGAACCATTGTTCTCGAGTTCACTGGTGGAGACGACAGACGGGCACTAGGGATGGTCAAAG